TGCGGAGGTCCCCCATGTGAGCTGGAGGCCAACTAGCAAGGGGCCTCTTGGCCTGCGCATCTTCGTCTCCAATGCATCCTGCCTGTTCGTCCTTCTCTGACCCTGACAATGCCGGGGGTGTAAGATGCAGAGGCACCCACGCCTACTTGCTCTTTGGCTCTCTACCTGGAAAGCAAATGGGTATTCCTGAGGAAGAGAAGCAGCTCGTGACAGCGCTGGCTAAAAGAATGCTCTACTGTGGGTGTCTTGTCCAGGGATCTTCCAAAACCTGCAGTTGGCCCTCCGTAGACCAGTTCCCGTGCTGTACTTTGGACTGTCCTAACTGAGCAAGGGAGGCATGCAAACCGTTGGCTTCCATATGCACTCGATCTTCAATGCAGTGTCACACAGCAGATGTGACTGCTGTGCATCAAAGCTGAGGGACATCTGCTTGCCAGGAGCATCCCGTGTGACTTCCAGCTGCACGCCATGGTGTTATCTTGCACTGTGGATGCAAATGTACCTCTCCAACTACAGCCCAAGGCCAGTAGGACTGTATTATTATAAACACCCTGCTGCATGTGACTTCCTCAGTATTGGTGGCCATTAAGTATTGCAGGGTATATGCAAATCATAAGCAGTTAGTTGAATATTGCTTCCATTAAAAACAATGGGCAATATCCAGTGGAGTCATTCTACAAGTTCAAATAGTGCCAGTGGAAGTCCACCAAACTTTGCCCTGCATAAGGTCTTACGCAAATGCTTGCACAGCTGTGTGTGCAGCCAGCCTTGAGCATGCCTAACTCCAGCTGGGTCTCCTCTTGTGCAAAGTCAGGATCCTGGCTGCCTCCAGTGCAGAATTGGCACAGCTGGATAGTGCCCAGCAAACTCCCTTTGATTTCTGTGGGCGCTAACTCAGCCTGACCTTGGCCACCTGTGTGTGGCAACCCTTGCACAATGCGGATACATATTCCAGGGAGGCGAGTTTGCCTGTTTCCTCGCTCCAGGTATACCTGGTCAAAGGACACACGTCTGCAGCCGTGTAACGTTGCTCACAGTGCCGTGTCTTTTCAACAAAGGTGAAAATAACCTGGACAATAATGTATTCAGCAAAAAACCTTACTGGTAGGAATAAAGACCAAAAACAAAGACTAGTATGCTAGTACACATAAGTGGCATACTCTTTAGATCAAAAGGTAGGTATTGTTTTGCTCTTAGTGGATGGAGGGCCATTCAGCTGCCTAACATTTTCAGAGACCCTACCCCACACTGAGAGACAAAGCTTGCAATGTTTCCAAGACATGCAAGCTGCACATTGTGCTTTTCTGTTAAACTGGCAGAAAAGTCAGGAGAACGGATGCTGAGTTTAGGGTATATACAGATCAAGCTAAGGGCCAAAAGTGTTTGTGTTAGTTAAGATCTTGGCTACAAAATACAAAACAGATTAAGGCTGGGGAGTAGTTGATAGTATTTTTCGAAGAGACCAGAAGGTATGAAATAGGCAAAGCTGCTCTAGGATGCTTACCCTATTTTTTACCTTTGGGAAATAGGTTCAACAGCTTTTATGAGTTCAAAAACCTGCAAAACCTGTTTGACCAGAGGCAGAAATAAGGCAAAACACGGGTATGCATAAACCACAGGAAGCAAAATCTCTTCAAATTCATGTTTTAGAAACTACTGAATATCTCCAGCCTAACTTGCCTTCAGAAAAATATATTTCTTCGTATTGAGTTTTTGGCCTTTTATCATAAGAATCAACCACAGGCCATGGAGCTAGTATTGGGACTCAGGAAAACATGAGCAAATGAATGTATGACAAAATAAGAGAGGAACAACAGCTGACGGGAGAGATGTGGTTTGGACTTGACACCTAAAGGAGCTGGCAAAAAATCTGATGGAAACAGGCAGGCTTGAGCTAAAGAAGATGGGGGTGGGGGGTGTCAGGGATGTTACAGGGACAGGATAGCAGTCTGGATACCATTATGCTGAGCGGTGACAGACACCTAGAATAATAAACCCAAACTCCCTGGGTGCCACATCAGAGAGGGCAAGCTTTGCTCCCCACTGTCTCACAGGGCAGAACTGGATCTGATGGGTTTACGTTATGAAAGAATAAATTTTGGTGGCGCTTTAGGAGAAACCGGGAAATAAAAGCATTTCAACAAGAGACCCCATTATTGACAGTAAAGGGGTGTAATGGTGGGACTCGCGATCCCACCAGCCCCAGCAAGCTTGGTTGGGACTGCGTTCCAAACACCCTTGGAAGGTTGCAAGTCCCCCTACCCTGGCCCTTGCTATCAGTCTTCAAGAAGAGACTGCATTAGGTGGTTTTATTAATGTTGTAAGCCGCCCCGAGGCTTCGGCGAATGGGGTGGCATAAAAATGTTTTAATAAATAAAAAAAATAATAAAAAAAAGCTTCCTCGCTGTCAGAGCAATACAACTGTGGAACCAGCTGCCTAGAGAGGTAGTCTAAAGTTCTCTAAAGAGAAGTCTAAACTACAAGAACCCACCTTCCTGATATACTAGTTTTCTATAGAGAGAGAGCATAAAGACACTGGGGAAGGAGACCCTGACTATTTGAATGCACATTAAAAAAAATCTCTCCTGCCCATGGAAAATTAGCATGCAAAGAAGAGGAGGGTTTGGCCTAGCTTAACTTTTTTTTCCATGCAGTAATTTTCCACATTCTGTATTTTAATAAGCATTTGTGCTATTTCCCTACATTTGAAATGGCACAGTCTAACAAGAGCTGTGCCAAGAGAGCTTTGCGCTCATGAATATCATGCCATTGGAAGATCTAGGAATCTCTTCTCGTTATGCTGAGCTTGAGTGGTGCTGTAGTAGGACAGGGAAGAATAGCCAACCTTTTCTGTTGGAAAGGAAAGTCATGTGGAAAATGAGGTCAGTGGAAGGAAGCAGGTGGACAGAACCAATAAGCAGGCAAGCAGACCAGAGGCCAAGTGGGCAGATGGTGGTTAGAGGATGCTTAGGGGTTTAGGAAGTAACAGCAAGAGCAGCATTACCCATGCTGCCACTGAATTCTTAGTTTGTATTCCACACCTTGAAAAGAACACCAGGAAAGCTTTCTAGCAATGGAGCAAAAAGCAGGCAAGCTATTGAGACCAAAAGATGCAGTCTGAGAAAGTCCCCCGCCCCCTTCCCATCATGAACACGTATATTCTTGTGTCACACCATTTTTCTGGTTGGATAGATTCCAGAGGTTTTTGGAACAATCCCCCAAACTTGCAAGACCTGCTTACCAGAAGTGAAAGTGCATTACATACATTTTATGGATGGAAATCCCTCTTTCAAACTGCCCTTGACTCTCAGCTAATAACCCAAAACTATTACCTGTCTTTAGACCCTAGACTATTTTGCACATTTCTTTTTAAAGACTGAAGTGCAGAGACTCCCGGGGTGTAAATGGTAAAATATAGGCATGTCTTAGTACTAACCAGTACTAATGCTGGTTAGTGTAAGGTGACTTGCGTGGCTGCTGCAACCTATCCATCTCAGCACAAAGGAGGCACCCAATTCTGGGCTCCCTGCAGGAAAAGCGGGACTTTTAAATATGTTTGCAAGGCATCTGCAGTTAACAGCACTGTGCACCATCTTCGCTTTGCTCTGGCCATTTAAACTTAAGTCCTTTTCATATGCCAGTTAATAATGTAAAGCATAAGTCAGCAATACATGTGAAAAAGTGAGTGCTTGCACTGAATCCCATCAATGGACCATATGCAAGGAATGGCCCTAGCCCGCCTTGTCTAGAAGCAGAAATGCCCGTCCATTTAGAGATTTGCTTGCAAGTCATCAGTGAGAAGCCTTCGGACAGGGTTTTGAATCTTCTTTCATCCCAAGGGGCAAATTCTATTTTGGAAATGTTCTTGGGTCCTGCACTCCAAGGGTAAAACAAGGTGGGACTACAAAAAATCAGTGTATTTTTGCTTGAAGCTGCCATGGTCTGTTACCTACACTTTAGGAGGTGCATTTCATTTTTTTTTTTAGAATGGGGAAGGAAAATAACCTACACAACAGCTGGGAAACCAGCAAATGACAGGTGGTCAGGCAAGAGGGGGCAGATCTGGAGGAAGGGGGTGTGACCAGCAGAAGGGGGCATGACTATCTGGAGGCTGCAGGAAAGCCAGATTGGACCCACAGCCCTGAAATTCTGTACCAAATGTGTTTTAGCCCGTGGGGTCTATGCAGGGAACTTTGGCCGGCTGGCTGGCTGGTTCCTTGTCTCTGCTAAGAGAAGCTGCCCTTCTGCAAAGGGAACTGTATGACTGAGCCGTTACCTATTCCAGACCTGGGATGTTAGATTCAAAGTCCTCTTAGTAGCAATCGTGTTGCTTCTGCATGGTCAACAGCACTGAGCATGCAGCTGTCACACACCTACACCTGAAATGTAGGTGGAAAGCTGCCAGAATCTGTGAAAACGACGTGCTCTCCACTTTCCACACCTGCAGAGCGTGTGCATGTCTTGAGACTTGGAAGCAAAAGATGGACAGCCAGGAGGAAAAAAAGGACAGAAAAAAACCAACAGGTGGCAGTATCTAAATGCTCATACTTGGAAGTCCTGCTCCCTCAGTCCCGTACCAGATGTTTCATGCAGGGAATGTAGTAGCTCCGGTTAATCAGCAGCGTTGCCACCACGTCACCATACTGTATTGGTGGTGCAGAAAAGTACTTGGCACACCATTTTCACAATAATAATAATAATAATAAAAAAAAGCAATTTCAATCGTATGTCTTGCTGCCGTCACCTTTTCACACCCACATCCACCTTTCGGATTGTATGTAGCAGACCTCCCCAGCGATCCTTCTCCAGCATCTTGCTCCCCCAGCCCTGTGCTTTCTGAAAGAGTCAGATTCACCCCGCAGCATCTCCTCCTAGATTTAAACGTCCTTGGTCCAGCTTCTCAGCACCCTCTGGAGTTCCTAAGCTTTGCGCAGCTACAGCGCCCCCTCCAGGGGGTGATTTGCGCTCGCGCAAAGAGCAAGGAAAGCTGCCGCCAGCTTTTAGATGAGGACTTCCATCATGTCCGGTTCTGGGAATTCCGGTTTGTGAAGTAGAGTGCTTACTTTGCCCTTGCTGTCGGGCAGCTTTCCATGGCTGGGAGAATTCTCTGTGGAGGGGAAAAAACACAGAAACAACATCGATCTGAGGGCCAAGAGGCAGTGTTATCTCAGCCTGTTCCCCACTGGTTGTTGCTTAATGGGTTTTGGTGGTTTCCAAACAGGGCTGGTCCTTCAGCCCCAGGGCCAAATCCAACCCACCCCCTTGGAGTTCACACTGTGTGAAGAACCATATGGTTTAAACCAAGCAAGGAAATGTTTTTGTCATGAGCCACATTCCCCCAGGGCTTTTCCGTCAGAGACCACATGCCCGCACCGGTGAAAACAGCTCCTCTCTCTTTCAACCGGTTTATATCAGGGTGGGGAACCTCCTAGCAAGGTCATGGAGGGCAACATGCCTGAAGTGGACGGGGGGCCCACGCGCTTCCTCTTTGGTCCCCTTCCCCATCTCCTTCATGCTCCATTCACTGACACCACATCCTCAAAGACCAGTGTCCTCTCCAGGCAGCTGCAACACTCCAAAAACAGCTGCTACTTAGGAAGTTAGTTACACCCCCGAAAGGACAGAATCCATAGTTTGAGGATGCTCCTGGACCCAAAACTATCACTTGAGGTCCAGCGAGACTCAGTGGCGAGGAAAGCCTTCTCTCTATTACGATTAATTTAACAACTGCGGCCCTACCTGGACAGGCTGAGCCCAGTGCTAGTCACCCATGTGCTGGTGACCTCTTGGCTGGACTACCGTAACATGCTGTACATGGGCTGCCCCTGAAGACAGTCGGGAAACTCCAACTGGTTCAAAAGAGAGTGGCACGGCTGCTGCTGAGAGCCAGGCTGCGTGCGCATAGCACTCCAATCTTATTCCAACTGCACTGGCTGCCAGTTGAGCTCTGGGCCCCATCGGAAGTGCTTGTTTTGACATATAAAGCCCTAAACAGCTTGGGACCAGTTTGGGACCAGGGTTTTCTGAAGGACAGCCTTCTCCCATATGTACCCACCAGACCCCTTAGATTGGATTCAGGGGCTCTTCTAAAAGAGCTGTCCTCTAAGGAGGAGGATGAGCAGAAGAGGGGCCTTTTTGGTGCTTGCACCCCACCTGTGGAGTAGCCCCCCCCCCCAAGTAGTCCACCTGGTGCCTTCATTACAATCTTTTCAGTGCCAGGTGAAAATGGTTTTATTCTCCAGACCTTTTAATAATGGACTTTTGTTATAATGATTTTAAAAGAAATTTTAACTGAAATTTTAAATGATGTTCAATTCTCCATACTTTGATTAATATTCTCAGCTGTTATATTATTTATGTTTATAGTATTGCTATATTTATACTGTTTTAACTGTTTCATTATCTTTTTTTATATTGTTGTGACTGAACCATTCAGAGAATCCTGCCGGACTATTGAAGTGGCAAGTCAATCAATCAATGTGTTGTGGCTTCAAAGCCCCAAGAGCACCTTAATTCAGGGGTTCCCCAAGTGACTGCCTCAAGACCCTTCCTGTTTGGAGGGCTGCAGCAGGCTTAAGAAAGGGAAGAAACCTCCGTGCGTATGATGGGGCAGCCTCACAGCCCTGCACCCACCCCTGAATTATACAATAAGAATAAAAACTCACAAAAGACAGCAATTAAAAAACCATTGCAGGGGCTAAAACTTTGCTGTGTACAACTGCCTAGATAAGCAGAAATTATTTAGCCTGGCGCCAAAAGGATAACTGAGTTGCAACGTCTCATCTCTGCGTCCAAATCTATCTCTCTTGCATTCGCAGAGACACATTTGTCTCCCCTTGGCAAGCTCACCTTCCCAGCCGCCAGTGCTTTTGATAGTTTTCCAGCTTTGGCACAGCTTTTGCCCAATTCGGAAAGGTTGGAACGGCTCCCCAAGACTTAGTTACTGGAGGCAAGAGCTTTAAGCTCAGATATACAGGTATTTTGGGCCCCCTCCCTTTGGCCACTGGCCCAGTCCGCCACTGGAATGTGGTCCCCAGGAGCTTCTCAGAAAAGGCATGCAGCCAGTGGGCTGAAGGTCGCTCCGTATCCCCGGACTGCGGTGCGTGTGCGTGGCAAGCAAGCAAGCCTCCTTCCGAATTCTCGGGGCGGTCACACCAATGAAGCTGAAACTGCTCACCCGGTCTCTCTCCAGCGCCTTTGCCTGCAGGGTGCTTCAGCGCTGGGCTGCCACTGGGGGTGCTACTCAATCTCCCCCTGCCCGGAAATGATGCCGCAGTGGGCCAGAAAAGCTCGGAGCTTTTGTCCGTCTGAGTGCTGTTGTCTTTGCTGCCCATTTTCAGGTGACAGACCGTCACTGGCCATGAGGACGTTATGGAGGGCAGAGAGGGAGGCGGCGGCGGCGGCAGCAGTGGGACAAGCGAATGGTCCTGAGTGTCCTTCCCCAGCAGCAGTCCTTGGAGCAGAGGAGAAAAAGAAGATGATGGCAAAACAGGGACAACAGGGACAAACTAACTTTTCTAAGTTAGTTTACTCTTATTAAATTCCAGCCCTACTGTGTAAAAGGCTCAGGCTGGGTTAAATTACACACACGGAATCTTGCTCATAAAACCAGCCAGGCAGTCAAGTAATGCTCAGTACAGGAAGGCAAGAGCTGGCCCTCCCCCAAGTTTCATCTGTGTTAAAGCAAAGCAATGCACAGTAAAAATGCAAATACCAGGGTCAAATCAATTTTACTGGCCCTTAGAACATGCAAGCAATGACTGGGAAAGGATCAGGCCCACACACCTTAGTGCTATTGTGCTTGCAGCCATGAATGTACTGATATGTACTGTTTGAACTGATCTGCTGACACAAAATGTTCATGAATTTTCCAATTGTCGAAGGAACAAAGCTGATGGAATGTTTGCAAGGCAGGGAAAGTTATCAATTTGCATATGAGTGAGTGAAATTTCACAGTGTCCAGAGAGAAAGGTCTTGCTGGGCAACCTTGCAAGGAGGCCCCATAAGTTTTGGAAGCTAAGGAGATGGGAGTACTGGATTGAAGGGAAGAGCACAGCTTAGAGCCAAGGCATGCTAGAAGCTGGGAGGAGAACCGCATCTCTTCCTCTGAACTAACCCCCAGATTATTAGTCTGTTTCTTGAAAAGGTGAAGGGATGATTTATACAGACACACACTGCAGTTGCTCTGCCATTAACAAGTCAGCATTTTTGTCCCCAAGCTGAAAACAACAACGACGTCAACGTCCAGGTCACCACCACCACCCATCCAGCCCAGGAATCTGTCAAAGCTGGGGCCAACCAGCCGCCTGCCATCCACAAGAAGCAAGAGAGAGCAACAGCCGTCTCCTGACCACGTTTCCCTGTTCCTCGTGTGCAACGGCAGTCACTAGAGGTAGCATACAGCTACCAGGACTAGCAGCACTGAAGACCTCACCCTGCAGGAATTTGCCTAACCCTATGTTAGTGTAAAGCTTCACCGTTTAAAAGTTCGATTTATTTTGCTAAAGTAAAAATAAAGTAGACAATAAAAGAATCCAGAGCCCTGATCTGGAGTGGGAACCCTATGCACAGGTGGTTGCGGTGTTAAATCTGCCCACCCAATCCCTCTCTCCTTAAATTTGCCTTCAAAGCAGGGCTAATAGAAACTTTCTTTCTTTGGAGGGGAAGAAGTGGAAGGGGTAAGCTCCCCCTGCCTCCACCCGTGCCTGGAGTATCAATCTGGATCAAAGCCCTGCACATTTGCGCTAAAGGACAGCAAAGAATGAGAGTCAGCTAAACGCTGCAAATTTAACAGCCTGGAGAGAACAAAGACTCTTGCAACAGGGCTTGGCTCGCAGGAAGCTCACCTATGCTCCCTTTCCAGGTCTTATCTTCTTTCTTTTCTTCAGCCATCTGGTTGTTGGTGAGGGAGGTCTGGCGGGAATGAGTTCCTGTTGCTGCAGCAATGGAAGGGACTGACCGGGCGGGCCGCAGACTTGCATTGTCGGATTTTCCAGGATCCTTCCTGGATCGCTGCTGAAGGACCTTGATCATAGCATCTTTCTCAATGATTTTTGCATGCAGATTCTTTATCCTATATGAAGACAAATATATTCCAGAGGTAAAAATAAATGTATTCTGGAGCCTTGAGAGAAAGGTTATTCAATCCCAGCCAGCTTTCCTACAATGGGGTTATGATGATATTCACTTACACAGCAGGACACCTGTATCCAAGGGGATAGGTTCCAAGCCCTCCAATGGATGCTCAGAAATGCAGATACATTCATGGGGGTTAGCATGCAGGACCCCCATGAAAGTAGAACAACTGTGAATATCTCTAGGGAACAAATGTGAATATCTCTGGTCTTCGCACCCACTGAGAGATAAAATATGTGAGTAAGGCTGGCTAGAGCCAAGACAAAGAGTGTGGCTGTCCTCAAACAGAGGGCATAGTTCCCTAGAGATATTCGTGGGTTTTCTCTAGAGATATGTGCAGTTCTTCCTCTTTTGTAGGGGTCCAGTACCCCTAACCGCTGCCGAAATGGAGGGTTGACAGTCTACCTGGGTTAAATGAAACCATGGTAACTGAGACAGCAGATATGGGGGTCCTCCAGGATTGGCTAGTGTCATTATTGGTTTCTATTTTACTAAACTAAGTGCCTGAACTTCACTTGAAGTAAGTTATTGTTGTTACTACTACTACTACTACTACTACTACTACTACTACTACTACTATTATTACATTTAAATTGTGCCTTTCTTCCTCTTGTAAGGAACTCAAGGTGGCTTACCAGGTCCTCCTCCACTCCATGTTATCCTCACAACACCCTGTGAGGTGGGTTATGCTGCGAATGAGTGACTGACCCAAACCGCCCAGTGAGCTCCATGGCTCAGTGGGGCCTTGAACTCGGATCTTCCAGGTCCCAGTCCAACCCTAACCACTGGCTCACACTCGCTGGTTGCCAAGGCAATCCCACTGAATTTTAGGCATATTTTAATTACCTGTGTATCTGAGGGCTCCTGTGCATAAGGGTTTTAACCTGTTTTAACCCAGCACTTTTTCCAGGCTTCTGGTTTTCGATTCCTTGTGGGATAGTTTGGCTCCTTTATATGCCTTTTCCTGCAGAGTTTGTCTTTCTCTGCCTCCCTATTTATTCCACAGCACAACCATGAGGAGCTGCTGTTGCACAGCAAAATTGCAAAGATACAAAACCATTTTGTGGTGTTTTACAATGCTAATCTTAATCCTCATTCAAAAAAAAAAAAAGCAGTGGAAATGGTTGGAAAGCAAAGAAGATGTCCTGGAAGAGGCAGCCATGGGAAGCACCTGCAAGCAACCATAGGTGAGGAATCACCAATGCACAATACACACCTTGTGCAAAAACGACACGTGCACGCTTCTCACAGGGAGAGAATATTTGCTGAGTGAGGACTTGAACCCAGGACCCTGTGCTTCACAGTCCAGCACGCTAACCGCTACACCACACCGGCTCTCGGTGCTTCCATGCCATTTTGAAATTATTGATTATCTGGACCCATTTCAGTCTGGCTTCAGACCCGGGTACGGTACTGAATCTGCCTTGGTCGCCCTGTACGATGACCTGTGCAGGGAGAAGGACAGGGGGAGTGCGTCCCTGTTGGTTCTCCTGGACCTCTCAGCAGCTTTCGATACCATCGACCACGGTATCCTTCTGGATAGGCTAGTGGGATTGGGGGTCGGAGGCACTGCTTTGCAGTGGTTTCGCTCCTATCTCAATGGCCGATTCCAGAAGGTGGTGCTGGGGGACTATGGCTCTGCGCCATGGCAGCTATGCCATGGAGTACCGCAGGGGTCCATTTTGTCCCCTTTGCTGTTTAACATCTACATGAAACCACTGGGAGAGGTCATCAGGAGGTGCGGGCTGTGGAATCATCAGTACGCTGATGATACCCAGCTCTACCTCTCGTTTTCCACCAATCCAGGTGAGGCAGTGGCTGTGCTGAACCGGTGCCTGGCTGAGGTAATGGGCTGGATGAGGGCCAATAAACTGAAGCTCAATCCAGACGAGACGGAGGTCCTGTTGGTTGGCGG